ACAGCGTCATCTGACGGTATTTGTGGGTTTTTCTTTGATGTTTGTTGTTCCAAGAGAAATTTCTTTTTGCCTTTTGAATAAAAGTATTGATTCTATTGCAGATTGCTGATTACGAAATTTCAAGATATTATTTTAAATGTAGGTTACGTAAGAAATTACATCATATTTTTGGTAGTAGCTTATATGATCCATAATCTGATATATCATAAATCTAAATGAAAAAAGAACCCAGGACATTCGCGTTGTTAGCACGATGCTCTAACCAACAAAGCTTCTATGGAATTAATTTATTTTAAATGAAAGACAAACTCAGCCCAAAGTTTTCTAATTAGACAGGTTGATGAACAATCTACAACACCAGCAGATTATATTCTTAATGCTACTGATAGTACTGGAAATTTGATTAATTTGACAAATTTTACAGCAGGAAGCCAAAATATTCAAACTGTTTCTCTCATAATAAGTATATTTTTTGACAATGACGTCACAGAATAAATTCTAATAAAAATAATAATGTAAAATTTACTATAGTACAATCAGGAGGTGGCACTCATATTAGTTAGGCAATTACTGATCCATATTATAAAGATATAATAGTCTTTTCTCTGATGTTATAGGAAAATCGGGCCAGTATAATGAAATATTTACACATTCGACCTTAAACTTGAAGTTAATTGGCCAATTGCTGATGGAAAAATTTTTCTAGCTAAAAAAGACAGAAGAAAAAATTCAGAATGTTTCAGAATGAATGTTGAAGATTTACTATATCAAAAAGAAGGAGAAGGAAAGAAAGTAGAATATATTAAAATTCATAAAAAGAATAATATGTATTTGCATCATTCAGCTGTTACTTAAACAGGTAATTATTAAAAATGTGAGTACAATCATGTGTTCATTTAAATAATCAATAATTGTTTGAATGAGAACCATGGTTATCATATTCTACTATATATATTGAAAATTAAATTTAAATCTTTAGTTAAAACATAGAATGGCACAGAAGGAAAGAGAAAATATTTTCTTCTGTTTGATGGTTTCTGAAGAGGATGGAGAAATTTTAAGAAAATTTTGTCAAGAAAAGAATTTAACCATTTTAGATCATAAGAATTATCCAAAATTTGTTCATAAGACATACTTTCAAAGTAAAAAGAAGAAATTTTCCAGAATGACTACTCTTCAAGAGAAAGTATACGATTTTTTGCTAAGCTGAATTCTATTCTCTCTTTACTATCTCATTTCAATATTATAATAAATATATTTTTGTCATTATTTTCAATTTCTTTGTAATGGTCTGGTTCCTGGTGAATGGTATATAAGAATATTTTACTTTATTGATCATTTATAATAAATAACACCTAAAGTTAAGTTTGAAAAGAATGGGACATGTGTAATTGATTTTTTGAAAAAAAAATATTACATGAACTTGACCTTCTACTTGAAGAGAAGAGAAGATTTAGAAGGGAATATTGCCAAAACCATTTGTTACAATTCACATATTCTTCGTCTAAAGATGAATTTTAAAGAGGAGAGAGAATGTTAACCCAAATCTACTATATATTTCTAGAAAGTCACGTGATTATAAAAAATAAATGTTCCTAAATAAAAATTTCATCCCTAATTTTATGTTTTATCTTATTACATATACAAATATTTAAAATTGTAAAGATTCTTTGTCTAAATGAAGGAAAGATAAAACTATAGATGAAAGTATTAAAAAAACTATTAAAAGTTGCTAACCAATAAGAATAGAAACTATAAATTAATGTTTTTTGTCTAAAACTGTCACTTATTGTACTTCCGATAACCAAACAACAAAATGGAAATGTTAATGTATAAAATACAGAAATAGTTAAAATTAATAATTTTATAACTTTTAAATTTCTTTTTCTAGAAATTTCATTTTGTTGATTTAATGAAGTTTTTAAGTTAAATTTTTGCTTTCTAAGGTGAAAAATGGTGTTAAATGTTGAAAAGAATAATACTGAAGATGTTAACAATGGTCCAGCATAAAGATAAACAAATACATGTAGAGTTATTACAAATTTTGGAGAACATATTAACTCAGTTTTAAGGAATACGAAACGAGATATTCCTAAACTATCAATTAATGGTAAAAATCCAATTAAAAATAGAGATAACCATGAAAAACTGATAAGAAATATAACCCTCTGTTCAGTTACAATAGTTTTATATCTAAAAATATAAAATTTTTCAAATTGTTATGAATTTTAAATTGAAAATTATCATTCATTTACCTGTTGAAGAATTTAACTGCAATATATCTATCTAAAGATATCATTGCTATACTCCATATTGACATCATACTGCTTGTAAGTGTAAATGTTCCATTTATATGACAAACTAAACTTCCGAATAAATACTTTCCAAGTATAGATGTTAGAAATGAAGTTGGTATTTGTGTAACACAGATTAAAATGTCAGAAATGGCAACACTTATTAATAGAATTTTAGATACTTTTGGTATGGTTTTAAGAAATGGAAGTAGAATTAAAGCCAATAATGATGAAAGTAATGATAAGACCAATGGAACACCAATTACAATCGATCTTAATGGATTGGAAATTGGATGATAAAAATTTACAGAAATTGTAATACTTGTATTAGACATGAAGATGGCAACCATGTAAGTCAATGTGACAAATTTTACCCATGAAGCTATATATATATATAATATTTAATTAGCTTAATAAATAGTTCATTACCTCGATTAATTATCTTAAAATAAGTTCATGCAAAAAAAAATTGATTACTTATTATTCTTCCCAGCCAGATGACAAGGAAGAAAAATATGCCCCACAGCAAAAATGTATTTGATGAACTGAAATGCGTAAGTAATTAGTTTAGAAATCCATACTCTCTGCAAAAGTTCATTCACACGTAATATAACAAAACATTTTCCTTTTCCTTCTCTTTTTAGATAAATTTTGTCTGATATTTTCATTTCTAAAAGAAGATATTTCATATATCATGAGGATGATACTCAATAATTCTTTCATAAGAATTGAGGTTTGACATATACAGAATAGTTTGAATTATTTCTATCATATTTTAATTATTAACAATTCCAATGTTTTAACTATTAATCATCTTTATGATTAATTTTTTAGCTATTATTCTCTTCACAGCCATTTTCACATTTTCTATATGCTTTAGTAAAAAAACTAACCACTAAAAAATTCCAATCATCTTGATAGGCTAATTTTTTAAAAAAAACAATGAAAAGTTTTTTCTTTGTTCTAAATTTGTTTCTTTTTGTTTTGTCTACATTTATATTTAAAAACTTTAAAACATTTCTTTCTTATATACAAAACATACCACAGACCAGTTTATTGGAAGTATTAAAATTGATGGATGAATATTTTCATTTTTGTTCAATTTTTAGTTTCCATAGCAATTTGTATTGTTTATCGGAATTTAATATGCTATTTGGGAAAAAGTGATGGATTACAGTATTACAAAGAGTTGTAGTAATATCATTGACATATGTAATAGTATGGCTCCCTATCTTCCTTATATACTGTTGTTTTGAGTTTTTAAACATTTTAAGAACTCCTTTCAATGCTATTAAATATTCATATATAAAAATTATTTTTTTAAATAAGAAACAATCACCACTCCGTATAAGAATATACCATGTCAGATCGTAGTAACTTCCCCCCTCTCCCTCCTCCTTTATGTCGTGTTTATTATGTTTTGTTGGTGTTTTAAGCACTGTTGAGTGCTATCTAGAATAAATAAAAATGGCTGGACTGGGGATGATGAATGATTGTTTCGTTTTACAATAATTGAGGATAGCAAAAGAAAATTAAAATCTTACTTGAATCAACATGAAATTTAATGGAAAAGGTTCTAAATTGTTTAACACAACCGTATGAACATTCTTGTAAGTCTATTATTTTTCCAATTTCAACATTTTCTTTTTGAATATTCATATTTACAGACTGAAACGTTAATTTGAATTTATAGCACTCATAACTTTAGCGATTGATTAGTACACTACTCACTGAAGCATCTCCGTATGAATTTCCAGCATTTGCTATGGCGTTACTTTTGCTATTATGATTGAGTATTAATGGAATATCATTTTCCTCTATAGGGATAGTATCATTTAATTCCACTGTTTGAACAGTTCCAATTGGACCATCAGGTAATGTAATTAGAGTAATTAATTTATATTTAATTCCTGCTAAATCCGACATTTTTCGCCAAATGCCAATGTGACTTTTATCTGTTGTCTTTCTGTAGAATTCAATTTTTGTTAAATGTCCAGAGCAGACAAATTTTAAGTCAACTAAAAAGGTTGCATGGTCTTGACCACCTTCATTTCTGTCAATTAGATCGTGTCCATACACATTTTGCTTGTTGGAACAATATGGATTTCTCTCTGCAAAAGTAGACTATTAATTTCAGAAGAAACCGGTAGGAGAATATTCTGTATATATTTACTATAGACATTTTTTGGGATAAATTCAAGGTTGAAAGCATAATATTTGTTATAAACATGTGAATTAAAATTAATATTTTTATAAACTGGTAGTTTCATAAAAAATTTAACAGCTGTAATTATCTAAAAAGACATAGAATATAATTTTATAATTTGACATCCTATATATAAGAAAGTTCCAGTCACCTTATAAAATTGTGCATTTCCAGGATTATCTCCTTTATAGGATACAATACCATGTTTTGAACCTTCAAGAAACTCAAATGCCAAATAATCAGTTGTTGAAATTTCCATTGGAATATCAAATTTTACAGTTCTTTGTTCGATTGCAGTAGTTTTTGTAATTGTTCTATAATCTTTCTTATTATATTTCAAGCCCAAAACATTTTTCCAAACTGCCAAATGAAATGGATAATCTTCACCAGTTGTTAGATAAGTTATAGATGTTATGTAGCCATTACAGGGAATAGTAAAATCTGTAAGCAAATTAATATGGTCCAATTGAGAAAAAATAAAACGTATAAGAGGAAATCCAAGAGTTGCATTGTGACAATTTTCACTTTGAAGTGTTACTGGAAAATTTAGTAGTAAGATAAAAATCTGGAAAAACATACTACTAGATCAGACAAGCAAATAAAACACACTCAAAACAATTCAAGGAAAATTCAATTATTTACTGATTTAGCTTTCCTTTCTTTTCATATATTGTATTTAATAGTGCTTTTTTTCATATTTCACGAGTTTTATTTTAATATTTATAAATTAAACACTTTGTTTATCAATTATTCTATGGAAACTTGATGAATTCTGTTATTTTTGGCGCATGAAAAATTTAGTCCATTTTGAATATTCAAAATGAATTTTAATCCTTTTATTATTATGTTATATCTATGTATTTTACTTTTACTGATGAAGGTTGAGTATTTCATGTGAAGTAAGTGAAGATGCTCTAATTAATATAGCTGATGTTGAACTGGGAGCCACTTGTACCTATTCTTCTGTTGGAGCTACTGTTAAAAGATGTATACTATTGTCGATCCTGGATTCAACTTTTTCAATGATTATGCTAAACGTATGATTAATAATTCCATACCTTCACATTATATTTTCTCTATTTCTACCAGTTTTCCTTTCTGTTTTTCAGAGATGGACGGAAATATTTACAATGTACAATTTATGAATGACGTTGTCTATCACCTTCCTTCACATTTTCAAGGTCATTCAAGATCGATAAAGTTCAAGGTTAAAGGTTACAATTCTAGTCGTCAGCTTTAAAAATAAAACTACAAAGCAAATTGTATTAAAATTGGACATGCTCAACAATGATATTGAAACTTCTTCCATTCAAGTTGAAGAAACTGTTGGAAAAGTGTTTGAATTCGGAAGATATACATCATTAATTCATTGCGACAGATGGAATGAATTTTGGCTTTTATGGTCTGATAATGAAATCCAATTTGGATTTGATAAAGCATATGGAGAGAATCCATTAGCAAAAATACCAGTAACAACACCTTTAGATAACCCTGATATTGTTCAAAACAGTTTAGGAAACATCTTGAATCTAGTTCAACTGTCAGATGAAGGTTTCTTATCTTTTTGATAATTAAAAACTATTTAATGTATAAAACTTTTGCAGAGGGAAAAAAATTGAATTCTAGAGATTGCAGTATTCATAAAGATTATGATATTTTGGATGGATTAACTAACTAAGGCAAAACATTTTTCAACAAGATGGGGCAAGATGTCATACATCAAAAATGTCCAAATTCTTCCTGAAAAGAAATAGAATAAAATATATTAAAGACTGGCCTGCCAACAGTCCGGATCTAAACATCATAGAGAATCTTTGGGCAGCCTTAAAGAAAAAGGTTAATGCAAAAATACCCAAAAATATGGATGAGTTAAAGTTGATAATATTTTGACGAATTTTTTTCAATTTTGGAAGAATATATAAAAAATTTATATAATTTATCAAAAAAAAGGGGTTGCCTTGTAATCCAAAATAAAGGTTACCCAATTAAGTACTAGATAAAAATTGAAATTTTTTAGGTTTTTTAAAAACATGACAGGAACTTACTCTCCTTCCTTTTGTTGAAAATTTTTAAATACAGATTACTGTATAGTGAGAAAAATTTTTGAACAAGTTTTATCTATAAATTCGGTTATAAAAATATCTTATCGTTCATTCTAAACAAAAAGATTTAATTAAGCAAGTCCTGTTAGTTAAATAATTCACTTTTTGCAATCTAAGAACAACCCTGGCAGAGATTTCATATCAGGACGGTATATATACTGTATATATTATTTTTCAAATAATCCATGATATTGGCTAGCAACCCTAACACTCCATTGAGTCATTGTTTACTACATATTGAATAGTAAAGTAAGCAGTTGAGGAAAGCAGTAAAAAGGTAATATCTATGCTTCTCCCTCTTCTCTTCTTCCTCTCCTCTGTAAATACTAATATATATTTATATATACTGTATATTCTATATATTCAAGGAATTTGAAATAGTGACAATATGATTAGACTTGAAGATATTATTCAGTTATTCATTTATGAAAATGCTGATAATTTGTTTAAGAAATGGTGCGAAAAAGGAATAAAAATACCTTCATTACTTTCAAACAATATCTTAAATTTTATAACTGAAAGAAATTTTAATAGACAATCACAATATAAAATATTTTCCTGGTTAGATATGGATTTATTTGAGTGTAGTGAAATCAGATTATATTGTATACCTTTTTATCAGCAGTTAACATTTACTGTTTTTAAAAAACATGCAATTAAAAAGTTGAATTTGTCAGTAATTTATAGTACTATTGAACTTGATGAATTACTTGAACAGCTTAATTATAATCTACTGACTGAATTAACCATTTATAAAACTCAATTAGAATTTACAAACACTATTCAACAGTTGGCCTCATTTCAAAATTTAAAAAAACTTTATCTACCATATTCATATTTGGATAATGAAATCTTTCAAAAAATCTTTAAATATTTACCACAATTAGAGAAAATTGATTTGTCTGGAAATTATATTACTCAATTGGAAATGATTCAAGAATTTAAAAATTTAAAAGTTTTTAAATATTTAAATTTTCCTAGAGAATTGAATTTTACAAATTTTTTAATTTTAAATATTAATTTAAATTTGAAAAAGTTGATTTTAACAAGAAAAGAAATACCACACATGAATTTATCGTTCAAATATGACGATAAGGAGTTTATAAGAAAAATCTATCTAAAGCAGTTGACCTATTTAAGATTGTGCTTTAATTATCAAATTGATGGCGAATTGTTAAAGTAAGTATAAAAAAGATGGCTACCAATATTTAAATATTATATTTACTTTAACCTAAATAGCCAAATGGTCGTAAGGCATAAAAATTTACAGTTTTTTCACACACCATTTTTTGAATATGTTCAAAAGAAAATTGTTATGGCAGAAAACTTAAAAGTGAATTATTTTTTTAAATTAAAAAGTAAAAGAAATTAAAAATTTGTATTCCTTTCTTTTCTAGAGAGATAATCCCATTGAAAAAATGAAAGAATGTATTGAAGGAAATATTAAAAATCATATTCTTATTGACCTAATTACTAATTTAATTGAATCGGTATCACCACAAGTTTATAACATTAGTTTAAAAAATGAAAATGAAGAAGGAATATTTCTGCAGGTTATTCTTTCTTGTTTTGGTTTGCAATAGCTAAGTATCTTTTTTTAAATGTAATTATTAATTCTATTTTCAGATTGTTATAAGAACATTGGAAATATTTTTAAAGAATGGAATTTATCAAGAAAAATACCATATTAGAATATTATATACAATTTTAAATATTGCCAAATCAATTAATTATAATCCTAAATTCCAATATGAATGGTTTCAAATTTGTATTAAAATATGTAGATACTCCAATCAAATTAGACTTAATTCCTATATAGAATTCTGTATGTTGACAACAAAAAAATCATTAATGTCATTAATTTTCTTATCAATTTTGTTGTTGTTGTTTTTAAAATAGATAAGCCTATAGTTGAAGCTTGTTTTTGGATTTTTAAAAAATGTATTCATATTTTAAAAATAGTAAGAAAAGTTCAAAGTTTTTTTCTTTATTTAATTAAATACTTAAATCTTCTCATTAATTTCTGTTTTTTTCCATCTTTTACAGATTTCAAGAAACAAATATTTAATTTTAAATAATCAATGCAAAATGGTGAATTTTAACTGTTGGGATATGTTTGAGGAAGATGTTTTAACTGTTCACAGCTCACTAGCTTAAAAATCCCGCCTTTTTTTGATAAGAGCGGAAGGAGGAAGATTTCTCTGAACAAAGAGAAATCTTTGAATAAATTGATTTTGGTAGTAGTGCTCTCTCTTCCTTAAATATTTAAAGATTATTAAAGTTAAGTCAGCTTTTAGAATGGATTTCGAGGAAACTTAAATAAATGGCAAATATGTCAAATGGGAAATGCCAATTGAAATGAGAAAGTAAACGCATTAAAGTTACCATTTTCCATTTAGAAAAACGAGTACTATACTATTGGTGTGAGGAAAATGACAGTTAAAACTGTAACATAAATGCTGTTGGTTTATAGATGGGGATGTAAAAAGACATGGTACTGTAGCAAACTTAAGAAATGTTAGGATATGATAGATGGAGCCACTGTTTATTTGGCAAAGAAACAATGTTAAAACGATGTATGTCAAAAATGTTATAGTTTGATAGTGAAATATTATTGTCTTAAGTAGCTTTTGAGCATTTTTATTAATTTAATATTAATGTCAAGGTCAAATAGTATTAATATTGTTAAACTTTCACAATATTTTACGCACAGTACTATTATATGACTATATCAATATCATTTAAAACGTACTTAAGAAAGAGCATCAATCTTAAGCAGAGGCAGTACAAAACATTTTCAATATATAAAATCAGAGGAATATGCACATGCGCAGTAGTTGTTTTCAGTGCTTTTGTAAAAAGGGTTGTATAAAGATGATAAATCAAAATCAAAAATGCATAACACAGCACTAACAAGAATATATAATGAAAAGATTCCCTATTCCGCAAACACAACTTTAATTATTGAAATAGTCACGTGGCCTAGTGTTTTCTCCAATAAACACTAGGAGAGGAAGGAGAGTAAGTTAAACAGTCAGAAATTTCTTAAAGGTAAGAATAAATAGATTTTATCAGGGTCAACAGAAAACGTCCACAAATAATAAATTTCAAGACAAGATTTTCGATTGAGAGATGATTAGTAAGAAGAAGACAGCAACTGATTTGTACTTAGGAGGGTCTCCTTTAACGGTTAGGGGTAATGCAAAAGGTTAGGTACAGCCAAGGGCTGGGTTAGAGTTAGGGTAAAAGCACTCATTTGTGGACGTTTTCTGTCGCATCCGATTTTATCATTTGGTGTTTTTAGTTGTAATTTTCAGATTGAAATTTATTTAAATATTTAAATCTTCTTTAACCAAACTGATATTCTATTTCTATTGCTTTGGTAGAAGTATAGATAGTGTAGGGAAAGATGAATAATATATCATCCATTATCGTTTACCCAGAACAGAACTCAATTTTATATTGTTAATTTTAATTGGAAATTATCTTTCTTTAGGAGTCTTAGGTGAAAAAAAGACGAAAATTGAGAAAAGAAACACAGTCAACAATATCAAGAGAAATATGGATAAACTATTGATTTGTATCTTATTTATTAATAGATTTTCCCAGACTTCAACTGGTAATAATTTTAATTGTTTGTATTTAAATCAATTCTGAAGAGTAAAGAGGGCCATATTTTGCAGTTGAATTCATTTCTGCCCCAACTCGTGAAATTGCCAAACTTGGAGAAAAACTTGCAATAAACTATTATCTTAGTGGTAAGTTGCATGTCTTTCTCTTCATTTCTATATTCTACTTTCATAATAGAAACAAAGGGAATTAGATTGGAAAGAGTTTATAATCAAACTTATAAAAACATTTACGAAACTCCCAATTTTAATTCATACTACGAAAATAGATGGAAAGTGACACCTAGCGGAGAAAGTTCATCTTATTCGTTTATTAATAACAACGTTCAAGAGGTAAGTTATAACAAAGGTCAAGTCAAATCACACATACGTACATAAAGTATATTTATATTCCTATGCATCAGATTGATGGTTTTACAATAAACGCTACTATTATGGACGAAAATAGTACTGATTCGAGGATAACTGCAATAGTCATATATGGTAAAAATTTGTAAAATTTGTCATTCATTAAATATTACTAATTACTCGATTAATGATCTAAGATTCAAATCCAAGATTATTAACATATCCGAGAAATACTCTTATGGAAGGGGAGAAATTTAACGTTTACTGCAATTTTGATATATGGGGTTCAGCTCATATAAGTTTTGAAGTTTTTATGAATGATAAACAGCTAAACTCTAATGCAATTATAGTATTTTCTGATGGACTTGTAACTTTGAAAAGTTCAATAATTGCAACTCCAGAAATGAATAATCAAAATTTATATTGTCAAGTAAAATTGTTCAGGTCCACAGATGATGTTTTCTCTGCTTTTGAATCTGAAAAATCAGAAAAATTAAACATTGAATGTAAGATTAAAATTCTCTTGTTAGAAATCATTAAAACTATTAACAAAATAACTTGTAGACAAGGTACGAGATATAAAATTAGCATCCAATTTTAGCAAGTCGGATTCCCAGGCTAAAACTGGGGATGAAATTGCATGTTCAGCAACAGGAAATCCTATTCCAAAATATGAATGGAGAGAGGTATGGCAGCTCTCTAGCTTCATTATTATTTACTTTTTATTAAAAATCAATAAAAGTAGTATTATTCATTCTAAAGGCATCTTCATCAGCTATTTTAACAACTAATTCAAAACTTATAATTAAAGAGGAGTGGCAAGGTAAAAAATATTTTGTATGCACTGCTTGGAATATTGTTGATGGAGAAAGAAATTCCATAACAGAACGTATTTCTCTTACAATTCCAGAGAGTGGTAAGTTAAACGACAAAAATATCATCATATCCTGTCTAAATTTTCTTTTCAGATGGTGCACCAATCAATAATAGAGTAGAAATGATTCTTATCTATTCCATCCCTATACTATTATCCATATTTTTCTGAGCGATGCATAGCTGTGACCTTCACCCTGGCCGTATATCCAAACAATATTGAGATTAATTACTTTTGAATACAATTTGTATTGAATGATCACATTTTAATACTATTTAAATAAAAAACAGGAAGAATATTACACAATAGCCTACTTGACATTCATTGTAACGTAAATAATATAATTGAAAAGTAATACATGATTAGATGAATTAATAATTGGTTCATTGTTTTTGTTTGCGCGCATGCGCGATCATCTTTTTATCTGTTTTTGTTGACTTTATTCGAAACTTTTATCTCATATTTGGACTAGATTTGTTGTATCCTCAACACCATTTTTCAATGTTATCTGTTTTTTCATTGAATAATTAATTAATAATTAAAGAGATGAACAATACTTAAAGTTTTCAAAACTATTACCTTTATGACTACGAATTATGAATGTGAAGGTAATATAAATGTACTAATTAAAGTAATTTTTGGAATAAGCAGTATATTCCAAGAGACTTGGATTTGAATATTAGACAGTCTATAAATAGCCTCTATATCAAGACAGCTGCATTAACTACAGAATCTTCAAAAGTTAATTGTTATATATGAATATGAATATTTGATAAAATTAAATCATTAACAAAATCATTCAATTTTCATCATATCTATAAAACTGATATTGTGTTAACCAAAGGCTACAGCTGCTATAGATAGAGAATTTTGATAGAAAAAAATAACAATTGTTTGTTGATTCTTTAATAGAGCTATGCAAACATTATTTGGATTTATTCACTAGAGAAAGGATTTCCATTAAAAAATCACAATATATTTGTCGTTTGTTTGATTATCAATGTTGTAAAGAGGGTTTGTGAATATTTGATGGAGTATAGTACTTGAATCTATTATGATAACAAAATCATATTTTTTTCATCTGAAATTTTACTCTAAATCAATTTTAAATATGAATTTTTTCATAAACAAAATAAAAAGCTCTAAAGGCCTATATAAAATATTTATGTCCTATTAAATTTATTCAGCGTTAGAGTTATTTAACTCTGAATACGAAATTTTATTCGTTCAATTTTTTTGAATAGATTTAGGCTTATATGTATAAATCTATTCAGTAAAGTAATAATACATTATTGAAATGTAAGTTAAGTATAAATGGTAACAGAAAAAAGTGGTGATAAACACCTGAGCAGTTCGAAAAAAGAGACAAGAAAAAGAGATCTAATTGAAAGAATGTTGACAATAATTTTAGTAATTTTTTGTAAATTAATTTATTCATCAGAACTTGATTGTAAAGATAGAAAAGTGATGATATCAGATCCAGTTAAATTTCCAAATAATAAATTTTCCCAGTATAGACAATATTACTTGGATCGGGGACATCTTATGAGATTAACACCTGGAACTAATGCTTTTTTATGCGGTAATCCAAATACTTGCTGGGTTCAAGTGGATTTGAGTGAGTACTTGAACAAATTCTTTTTTTCTTTTTATTCAAATTTCAAATAATCTGATCCGCTTGTAGCCGATGTTTACATTATACATGGTTTTGACATGAGAGGAGGAAGGGGAAAGTATACTACAACTTTTAAGGTTGGTTATGGAATATCTTCTGTCCAGTGGATGAGAGATAATTCTAGTAATACTTTGGTAAGATGTTTATTTGAAATAATTCTAAAAATCAAGCATTTAAAAATTGTTATTCAAAAATTAAAAAACAAAAGATTTTTCATGGTAATACCGATGCTAACAAATATTCAATTTTACATCATGAATTGCCAAATCCCGTTGAAACGAGATATTTCAGAATTTTTCCAATTACTGGTGCAGATCGTCCAGCTGTTGCTGTTGAACTTTACGGTTGTCGTAAGTATTTTTCAGTATGGTATTTTTTATGTATTCAAACATTTCATCAATTCAAACAATCCATTGAAAAAGTATTTCCAATAATTACACACTTTTGGATTAAGAATTTATGAAACAATAGATGTTTCTTGACATTTTTAACAGAAAAAAAGGTCTATTCACAATACGCATTGTTTATACATTTTGTGGTAAATAACCTATATGGAATAGAACTTAGGCCTATATTGGAAAGTTTAAAATATTTAAAATCCCCTGCTTTCAGATTAAAAAGTACAAAGTTTTAAGGCAGTGTAGAAATGAAACAATTCACTTGCAAAATGCATTGTTTATCAGTTTTTATTATTAATATAGTTTTTAGGTTTTTATGTGATATTTTCATAAGGTTGTGGGACCTTACAATTAGCAAAAAAACAAAAGAATGGCATTCAATGAAAATGAATTTTCTATTTTTAACATGAATTGTTTAGTTGGAAGTCTTCTAAATATTTATTTGTTGTTTTCCAGCATTTTCTAATCAATTTTTAATTCAAAGCTTTTTTATAAGCCTATCAAATTAAAAATACAAAAGTATTTTGAATGGTGATTTCAATACAGCAATAACAACAAAAATAAACAGTACCGCAATGAATTTCATCTTCATTATTAAGGCAATGATTAATACCATCGCATACAAGTTCTATAGATATACAAAACTTTCTCTGCCTGCATAAATATTCATCTTTCTTACAATAACTTTTCCGACAATCTTTCAATTCGAAAAGCGCGTTGCTCTAATTGATTATTATATTTCCAAGGGAATTATACTCTAAAAGGCAGGATTTATCAATTTTCTTTTTCTTTATTCTTTTGGCGAAAGATTTATCAATTGCATTCTCATTTCCGCAAATTTTGTCAGAAGAATCGAAACAATGTCTTTCGTTGTCGCAAATGAAATTATTCTTTACGCACTGATTGTTTTTACATTGCCTTTTGTTTGGAAAATTCATCAAATTGTTGACAAACAAAACAAAAATGTCCCTATTTATTGTATTACTTGCTATCCGAAATGTTGCATATCTCTCTCTCTAAACAATCAAACATTGTATTGAAGATTTTATCCTCTTAAAGAAGAAGAAAATCAATGCTTACTACAATTGACTTCATCGAGTCCGTAGGGGCAATCATTGACAAAATCGCATACCAATTTATAATTGATTGTCATATTTTCATATGGAAAACAATAGATACGCACTTCTATAGATTCGCATCCTCTTTCATCTTCTCCAAATGGACAATCACTATCTCCGTTGCAAGTATAAGTAATATTTGTAAATATTTCACTTTGGCAGCAATAGAAACTATTGATAGGAATATTTGTTTTATTGAATTCAGAGTCAAAATCATTTTTAGCCTTTACATCCGGATGACTGACTAATAAAATTCAAAAGAATTACCGTTACATAATCATTAAAAATATATATACTACTCAATCTTTGGCAAATATGAAATTTATTTGTTGCAGTTTTGCAGTGTATTCGAAATATTAACCAGTCTATTTGAAATGACTTAGAAAAAAGTATTTGGAAATATAATCAACATACCGTATTGTATCAGTTTCTCGTTGTCTCGAAGTACCTGACAGAAATAGAGAAACAACTTGAACAGTTTGCACATGAACAAAAGAAAAAAAATGAAAAATTTTCCAACCGGTAAGAATTGTTAGCAGACGCTTTCCTGATACTCAACAATTCTACTATGTCTAATATGATATTTGAACTGTAATTCTACATCATATGCAGAATTCTGAAGCAATTTAATAATTTATTCATAATTGTTTGTTTGTTTGTTTGTTTGTTTGTTTATTTATTTATTACGTATGGTAAATTTTCATATAGATATTTTGGAAAAAAAGAAAATGGCACTTTTGTTAAATAATTTTATCATTTTTTTTCCTTTTCATTAATACTTTAACATTTAAAAAAAAAGAAAAATATAAATAAAGAATGATTGTCACGTGATAAGTATATTACTATTGAATATTGGTAGGCCTATAAATTTTTCAATTTTCTCTAACATTAAAAGATTTATTTGTATAAATGATAAAGCTTGTACAAGATTTGTAGATGAAAATTCGGCCAAAGTTAAATTTCTCCTTTCGCAGTCTTCCTTTACTTTATAGATATCTAGATATTGATTATGATTGTAGATAAAATAGCACACGTGATCAAAATAGAAGTTATTCGTGTCGTTACAATCTTCGAATTCTGAAAAAGCGTTGAATAATTCAAAAAAATTTCAAATAAACGTTCCAAAACCTTGTGGAATGTTTGAACAATTGAATAACAACGTAAATTGAGTTCTATAGAAATTTAAAATGTATAAATGAATAAAAAACAGTTGAATGGAAATGAAAATGATACTTGTCATCAAATTTATTTATCGAACAATCAGTAAGAATTGAAGCGTTTTTTCTGCATTCAAGCAAGTATGAATTTGAAAATTGATAATTTACTTTTCATGTTTTAGATTGTAAATTAAAATGTTGAAAACCAAAACTTTTACAAATAATTTCAATTTCGTTTGAACTAAAATAAGTGAATGAATGAAATTGCATTCCTTTTAATAGTGAGATTTGTCCTGAAAAGTAATTAAGATGAACATGATCTAGATATGGTAAAAGAATAATATTTCCATCCAGTAGTAACAGAGATGGTTTTGCGTCTGCAATAGATAAGACTTGTATCTTATTTGTATATTATGTCAAGTAATTATTGTCAATTATACTTCTTCTAAACCTATAAGCTTTAATCACGTGGAAATATTCAATGTCGCTCATTGGTTCATACCGACAATTTGAAATTAACAAATTAGAGCTATTACAATAGAATTTATAGCTATTCTAAATATTTAAATGAATGAAAATATAAAATATAAAATTCTTTTCATTGAGAGAAGTGGTGTGAAACTTTTGATATTTGAAGGTCAAGTTCACTACCGACTTCTCTCTTATTTTTGTTATACTAAATATTTGAATTTTTACTTTAAAGCTAACTGTTTGAATTTCACAATGAGACGACCTAATTGTTGTCAGAAAATGAATAATGAGCCTGCAGAATGGAATACCATCAACTATCTGATTCAGAAGTGGAGGCTTAATCCCAAAAAGTTTTTGATATAAAATAATAATCCGTATACATTTCAAACATTTTTGAATAAGAAAATGTTCTTTGTTTATTAATTCCTATCTTTTCAAAAGCTACATCTAAAACCATATATAACCATATTTAATATATTTATAAACAAACCAACATAGATGAATTATCATACCTCTAAATTGTTGATCTGTGCAAAGTAGAGTACTCATTTCAATTCCTATTTTCGTATCTTCAATTATCGTATTTTCATTTAGTACAACAAAACGGTCATTTGAAATATTTAAACTCTCCCTAGCCCTAGTTTCCTCCAAGTAGAATGAACTCTTATTGCAAAATATCAATAGAAATTCAGCTTTTCCAATAATTGGATAGATATTTTTTGGTGTTTTTAAAAATAATTTTAACATCATCGTCGTTTCCCTTAGAGCGATGATATTTAAATAAGAGAGAGGAAGAAAAGCGACAAACAATGAAAAGGTAAAAAAACTGTAAAGAATGTACAAACAATTGACATTCTTTTTAAAACATTTCAAACAAAGTCCCGTGTTAATTTCATGCTTTTCAATTAATGAACTATTTTGATTGGATAATGAAAAATCAATATTATTTCTTTCTACATTTCTTTGAATATTATTTACATTTGAAAATTTGAATCAATTTTAGAGTTATTAACTCTATGATTAGTTGTAGGAACATAGTAATATCCGCAAGGATAGGAATTGGAATGAATTGAATCGTAATCAGCTTCTTTGCACAAAATATTACTTTGTTCAATAGATAATTGTTTATAGGCAATGGAAAAGAATTCTCCGCCTTGAATGTCAAAAATTAATAATCCTTCAACATAACTCTCTTCTTCTTTCGTCAATCTTATATTCAATTTCGCTCCGACTCTATCGTTCAATAAAGAAGATAATAAAATGAATAGGTTAAAAAAAGTGAACATTTCGCCGTTTCTCTAATATTTAAAGATATTTTTCGCGTTTAAATTGTATTAAAGTCATGGAATAGATAATGAATTCAATTTACAATAATTGAATTGTTATTTATTTGGCCAATCAGCGTCATTTCTATTCTTCGTGATGATAAAAAGGCCTAGTCTTACAATTTCTCCTATTTCGATTGTTTACGAGTAATCCTTCTAAAGAGATGAATGTAGAATTGTTTTGTTTGACTTCTTATAGATGCTTTAGTATAGCCGTGAACAAGAGGATTTATCATTGAATTTGAGAGAGTGATAGCGGCAAGTATATCTCCGAATTTGGTGTCTTTTAAACTCATGTTATTATCCCTATGAAAATAGATAACAGTATTTGCAGATAGCATTGCCCAAAAGATAAAATTGATTACCAATAAAGAGGTTAGAACTCTTATATTACTACCTTGAGATTTAAAATTTAATCCATTCGGTATATTAGAGACAATTTTTCTTCTATGCTTCCTTATCGCTCCCAGTATTGGAATATACAATAATAGACTAACAACAGAATTCGGCAGGGCTACGGTAAACGTCCAAAAGTAGAGAAATGAAAAAGGAACAACACTTGTAATATAACACTCAAAAGTGGTGTTTTTTCTATTAAATGTATTATATAGATTCCAACCCATACTTGGAAATGAACTAAACAGACACTCAATTAACCATAAGCTAATAATCAGGGCAAAAGCTTTCTTCATCGTCCACATTTGATTGAATTGTAAAGGTTTTACAACTGCCATAAAATTTTCGAATGTAATAAAAGTTAGCGTAAATGATGATATTGCAACTACCATCATAACAAATTGAGTTAAAATGAGACAACTATAGAAATTCTCTTCATTTCTTTGCAGTAGAAAGTAAGATGATAAGCTAATTGAGTACAAAACATCTGTAAAAGTCATTGCAGTTACACCAAAGTTTTGTAATTTACGTATATCTTTATTTATTATACGAATGACAATTAAATTGCTGTTTAACGCCAAACCAAAAAATTGAATAAAACATTGAAGAAACAATACAACAGTTTTGCTAATATCCATACTTAAACACTTCTATTGCAGTTGACTATTGGTGAAAAAATTATAAAATGTGCTGACAAATATTTACATCTTCATTTATTATACATTAATTTTTTCCTGTATTACATTACGTAATTACTTTTCGGAGAATTTTTACAGTGTTTGCAGCGACATCTAAAGAATTTTTTGTCAATAAATAATTAGCCTTTATTGTAGCTGATAAAATAATCATGAAATTATTAGTGATTTAATGGACTAGTTAAAGGTAATTTAATATCAATTTTTACTTTAACATCTACG